CAGTGCATATGATTAAACAATAATAAACAAAGGAAATAGGTCACTTAATATATAAAAAAAAACATAACTTTAATTTTAGAATTTAATTTTCTGTGCCTATGACAGTCCTAACTGAACTTCTAAACTACAAACATGTTGTTTCAATATTACTTCTTTTGTAGTGCTATACTTTTTTTATATTGTGCACTTTTCTTATAATTACATGTAACTCTACAATATACAATATGCATTTAACATAAAGGTTTATGATGTTAAAGGAAACAAACTGTTATTAAACCTTATTAAAACATTAAAAGAGGGAGAACACTTGTCATGCTATGACAACAAGATGTTCACGTGTTATGAAAAACACATTCATAACAACATATACATGTATCAGTGGTGCCTAGATTAATGTAATGCAATGATGAGATCTGAGCAACAACATTTTCATTTACGATTACAAAAATGCTTAGGAACCCAGGTTTAACATCCAACATCTAGTAAACAATAGATTTATAAGTAATATAACTTTTTTCATGGTTTACAATAAATTATGAGTGTTCAAACAACAAAACTGTACAGTTCAAAACATATAATATAGATTTGTGCAATATTAGTGAATCAAATAATGCTGATATTGCATCAAAAGTAGTAACTGTCTCAAAAAAAAACAATTTCTGTGGTAAAGTGCAAAGTGTGACAGAAAAATACGTCCATAAGCAGTATTTATGTAAAACGACCAATTGCGAAACTGTATATTTTTACAATAACAGCAACTTTTACTGACCTTTTCAATAACCAACATTATTCCTGATGTTACAGACAGAACAAACATATATAATTTTCATTCAAACATACACAGTTATGTACATTTTATGTCTTAAAATGCACATCACAGATTTCAAAACAGTTAATCAGTTTCATAAGACTAAAAAAAAGAAAGGAAAATTATATCTACATATTTGAAAAATAAAATACTGCAATGCTTAAGATTTTTGTTTTTGATTTCACAGTTTATTCAAATGACAAGAATTCTCATTACCAGGAAAACTTATTACTAAAGATAACAGTGAGATTTTCAAATAACCATGTCATTTCTTATAAGGTTTTCACATATGACCAACATACGTGTGTGTGTGCATGTTTGAATACACATATACTGTTTTAAAAGGCATATACATAATTATAAATATACTTAGCAGCACTTCGCACTCTCCCATACTTTTCTTGTATCTGATGCTTGCCTATGTAAATATCAATGTGCTTAGAAACTCGCGTGAGATAAAAAAGATGGCTTTATTAAAACTTGTTTATTGTCAGATATACAAAGTATAAAATCTATGGTTACAATTTTTACCAGGTTAATCAGGCATCATCAGGTACAACAACTACATTGAGTGAGCTCCTGATCTAAGTAATATGAAAAATTATCAGATGGCTACTAAATCTGTATTTGATTGGTTGAACTAAAAATAATATTAAATTTCTAATAGCAGGAGATACACAATACCAGTTAAAATCTAAAATAATGTTTTGAGACACTATTTTGGAAGAATATTAAATTGATTTGTATACAATTTTTGACACTTTCATGTGTATTCTTCTGTTCAACAACTGGTTGAGAGAGAAATACATAGACTGTTTATTTTATAATGGAAGTTCCAAGTTCTTTGCTGGCATATGATGTCAGAGAGGAAGTTCAGACCTTAAATGGTGTTTGAAAATTGGTAAACTATAGATTAAAGAACCTTTCACAGTCATTCTTTTGATGTAAGTTACTGTTTTATACATTGATTTGACTGATTTCCAGTTGATTTTGTGATAAAGATTCCTCATGTATAGAAAAATAGCATTAATTGTTTGACCATTTGCAAGATCTTTTTAATATTCTGTAGTCTTGTCAAGCTCAACCAATCAAATATAAATTTATCCATCTACTAGTTTTCATATTATCTAGATCAGGTGTTCACTCCTTGTAGTCGTAAATGTACCAATGATGCCAGGTTAACTTGGTGAAACATTGAAACTATAGGTATAATACTTATTATTATATCCGACAATAAACAAGTTTTAAGTTTTACTTAACAGAGTACTTTTAATTATTTAAAGATATGTTTCATATGCTATCTCAACAAGATATTTTATTCCTTTTATTTTTTCATGAAAAAGTGTTAAACAATGCAAGAAATGTTAATAAGCCTGTATTTATCATTCCTCTTTAAATAATATTTCCCTGTTTGTTAATGTAGTACGCTGAAAAAATATGATTATCAATTGGAATTAAAACAACCTTATTTTGAAATTATCAACCATTGTAAATTAACATACTGAGCATTCTCCACGTAAAACCTGCAAGTTTTAAAACTCAACTACACATAAAACAGCTTTATTTCATAATTTATCAACCCCAGATAGCATACATTCTAGCAAAACCTCCTCTTGAACTTAGTTTTATGACTCACTTCTGCTGTTAAAATCATTTAGCCAAGCAGAAATGTGCTGCCTTAGCTCAGATCATTGTAGTTATGAAGCTCTAACTTACAGTTTTAGTTTAAATCATTTAAAAGATATACAATATGTATTTGAGGTTTATAATTTAAAGAGCAAACTAGATCCCTGGTCACTATATCCTTGGATTTTTTTTTCTTTCTAGTTCGTTCACTGACTAGTAAGAAGTAACACAATTTCTGATATATTTCCTTCAATGTGGTATTTCCATGGTTTATTGAACCAACTAATCCTGATCAATTTTTATGTAAATATAAATATCAGTAAATATTAAAAATAATGAATTCAATGCAACAACACAGAAAGTGTAAAACCAGTGCATCTACAAAAAAACAGTATTACCCTAATATCACTAGTAGGCTGCAGGTATATGTATTCTTGTGCAACAGTTGGGATATGTGCATCTTTACAGAAAGTAATAAATACTTGAAGATCTAAAAACTACAGAAGATTCAATGCTCCAAAAGCTCATATTAAATTACTCACACAGGTCATGAGACTTGTTCTTGTTTGTCTGGCACTTGATGTTTATAAGATTAGAAAATGTACTATTTGAGGTTATGAGCATCTCAAATACTGAGATGTGAAAAAAGAAATAGCTGGTCAGCTCATTTTTCTAGTCTCACTGATAAGTGATAACTTTAAAGACCTTTACTGTTGTTGTTTGTAATTAAGCACAAAGTTACATAAAGGGCTGTCTGTGCTCTGCCCATCATGGGTATCGAAACCCAGTTTCTAGCACTGTAAGTCCACAGACATACCACTGTGCCAATGGGGAGCTAAAGAACTTTAAATAACTTCTTTAGATTATGGTAACAACTGACATTCTTACTGAAAACATGTTTAATATTTAATTAATTTGATGTTTGCTGGTAAATTCACAGTGGTAATGCATTCCATTTGATATAAAAAATACTACAGTGTAGAGTGAATCTAAGTGGGTTTTTACTTCAAATTAAACTCTCCTAGATTTACTGTGACAAAAATCTTTAAAGCAAAAAGTTGTGAAATTCTGTGGCAGAACATGACTTTCTTGGCATTAATTTATAGTCATTATTTTATTACTTGCCTTGGAATAACATCTATTATTTGTTTCATTATTAAGAACAGTTACATAGTCTACATTTTATTTTTTACATAAAACTACATGAAATAGTGTTTGGGGATAAAACAGTATAAAATTAAACTGACAACTAATCATGAAGACTCTGTTAATATTTTCTATCTTTTAAGATTATATAGTTTTAATGACAAATAGACATGTTCCCACTTAGCACCACTTTAATAACTCCAACCTTTGAGTCACTAAGTTCATTTATCTATCATTCTCATAACTCTGTGGATACAATTTATTTCTCGTTGTCAGCCTTGCCGAGATCTGTACCACCTGATGCTAGCTAGAGACTTTAGTACAAAAAAAAGAGAGAGAGCTCTGACTGACAGCTCAGAAACACTTTGTCACAGCCTTTGAATAAATGTTGGCTAGAAATGATATCGTGTGTAATGCCATGCATCAAAAATTATAGACTGCTGTAAGTATCCTGCAAGCAAATAAAACACACAATACAAAAATGATACTATTTCTGTTAAGACAAACTTGAAAATTTCTGAAAAAAAAATACACATTTTTAAACTTTCTATGGTCAGTAATTGTTTCCATTTTTTGTGTTTTTTGATGCAATCATGGAACCACAGAAAATCCTGGTGAGTGAACTTATTGTATGTGTACAAATGTGAGGTCCATAGACTATATCAAACAAGTTTATATACAATGTAGTTTTATAATTTAACATTTTGTAGTAATACAGGTGTGGGTACTTTATCACACATGTATTATTTTTATTATGGGCTTCAGTTTTCTACAGACTTCATCTTTTTACAATTTACAGGTAAAAGATATTCAATTTAAATTTTGAATAATTTACTTTGCAAATATATATATATATATATATATTTTAATTAAATTCAATTACACTTATCTATTCCTGTGAGTTAGCCTGTTTTAAAGTTTTATTTTCTTATGTTTGAAAATAAACTATTTTTGATTTATTTTGGTAAACGCATCATGTTAAGGTAAAACTTGGGTTGTACAAGTAATATACACCCTACCTGTACAGTGTATCAACTCATTATTGTAGTCTGATAGCTACAGTTTTGCCAAAGTAACTGTTTATTTTGTCAATACATGTAGCACATATCTAAGTATTCAACAATTTAGGCACTAAAATATGCAAATCTTTAAGCACTAAATGTGAAATCATTCACGTTTTCTAAAAGTAAGTTATACATTTCAAGTTATAAATAATGTAACACTGTGATATACATAATCTCTTACAATTAAAGAAATATACTGTGGTAATAAGAGAGTAACATTTGAACAAAAAACTCCTTGGGACTACCTTGGGACAACATAAATTCATTAAAGCAGAAATAAATCACACTGACAATACTGATATTATCAAGCTAATAATATAAAACTAGCTAGTATGAAAATCTATTTCACTTAAAATAATATGTGCTTTTTAATTTATATACAAGTCTTCATATTATTTCTAGTACTAATAGATTGTAAAAATCAGTGTTGTAAGCATAATTAAAATGAAATAACAGTTATTCTACTTTAGAACTGACAGTATCAAAGCTCACCTTTCCTCCATCTTCGTGATGCAGTGTGCTTATTAACAGAAAGTTGGACCAGAGCATGAACCAACAGTTGACAGTTACTTCTGCATAGTGCCTGCTCAGACATCAGTTAAATAGGACTTTTGATAAGGTGTCTTCTTCAATGTTAAAATAGCTCTTACATTTCTTCTGGTCACACTTCAAAAAATTGTTATATCCTACTACCTACACAGGCTGAGCTAAAACACAAGCAAGTTAGTCCTCTTTTGGCACAGTTTATACACAAGAGTTCAGCCACATGTTGCTAAAAAAGACCTCTTCCAGCATCTGCAGAGTGAATTTAGAAGTTTGTGTAGTTAAACCAGATAAAACCAGTCATCACAGCACCTTCGAAAAACACAGGGAAGAGAAGGAGCTAAAACTGAAATTCAAAGAAAATAAAAGTTTTTTGTTTCACAAATGATACAATGTTTATTTAATAACACACTGTGTGTGTGTATATGGTTTTTAGCAAAGTACATATCCAACTTACACATAAATATGAATTTATATTTAATTTTCTAATGGTGAGTTATAAAATATATATATATATATATATATATATACACACAGAATGAAGTAGTGTAATCAAGTTAGATAATCTAATACACAATACAAAACAGACTATTCAAAGGTTAAGAAAGGTGCACAAATAAACTTACCTATTATGTGCTGTCAAAAACGTTTGTGATAAAAAATTAAAATTTTTATAGTTAATAGCACTTGTAAGCCATTCTTTCTCTATCATATCTTCCTTGAATGACAAATGTGCTAAATGACTTGACTAAAATATTTTGTAATTTCATATTAAAAGCCCAGAATAAGTCCAATACATTTCTCTCTGACTGATTTTATATTTATGTTTACATTTGAACGAAAGATTTTATAGATGTAAAAATAAATTCTTTGTCAGTAACTTAACACACAAATGTTCAAGTAAATATACTATATTTTATCTCTTTTTTTCTTTCTCTTGCAAACAATTTTAGTTACACCTAGTAAAGCTAAATTAGTACATGCATATGTACTTAAGACAGCAAAAATAAAGTTTGTAAATGCTTGCCTTAATCTGACAGATTTTGTATGAAAAAAAATGTTTATCAACCTTTGCAAATATCATACTTTTTGACAGCTTTGTTAAGGTAAAAGAAAACATTAAAAAATTCATAAAAGCCAAATCTGTAAAATATTTTAATATGAGACAGTTTTATAGCATCTCTTCAGTATCATTCAAGAAAGTTTTTATTTGCATAAAAATGCATAGAGACCAATAGATATACACGTATAATTGTACATACATTATACATATAATAAAGCCTAACTGGTATTTACTACAGTGAATATTGTACATCCAGACAAAACATAATATACAGTTATTTGTCAAAATCCCAAAAAAAATTAAAATCTGTATTTTGTCAACCTATCCTTATTGTTATTTTGCATGTTCAGCTAATATGTTACACAGGTACAGTAATAACAGTATATATATATATATATATAACTTTTGACACTTAGAAATTCTGCTTGATATGACAAGGCTAAATATATTGTACATAAGAATATTACACACCTTGAAATATTTAGACCACAAATTGTACTTATAAAGTTAATTTAATAACTATACAAATTGTTTAGTTTGTTAAAATTGCTAAAGTAAATCCAGTCCTGTTTAACAAAAGTATGTAAATGTACTTACTATTGTTCTTAAACTGATCAGTTTGTATCCAAATAAATGCATACAAATTACAAGTAAATATGACAGACTAATACATGTACTGGTAAGTGGCTGATTGAAATCTAGGTGAAACTTGTTGCTATTTAATGACTAATTAATATGGAAAAAAAAATATAATTGCAGTGTTAGTTCTTCAGTCTTTAAACCATAAAGAATACACAATACTGGATGGTGAAGTTTGTTTGTGATAATAAATATTCATAACAAAGTAATATTTTTAATTTTTGTGCCTTTTGAAGTTCATACGTCTTTAAAAGCACTGTGTTAAAGAAATAATACAATTAACTAAAAATGCAAATTTCAAAGCTTTTGCACATTGTAAATTATTAACAACATGTATGGGTGTTAAACTTAAAACAATTACTATAAAATTGCATTTACCTGCCCTCACACACATAATAAAATAACATCATACTTTAAAACTTGTGTAAAATCAAATGCTGCTACAGAAGATATTACAACTTCATGTTAGAATTAATCAATTACAAAAGTCATTTTTTAATCTATGGTACATAGACCACCAGTCACCCCAGAAAGGTCATATAATAATGTAAGTGTAAAGTAGAAAAGAAATATATCAAATATTTTGATGTTTTTATCAGTAAATTAGATTGTTTTAAAACTATAATCTCTCATGTCATTGGCTTTTTATTAAAATACATAACTTGATGCTTCTTGGCATTAACTAGTGAGACCCCAATTTTACTGTTTTAATGTACTGTGTAATATAGTACACATTGGAATAAATTGTCATCATAAACAGCATTGTGAAAACTTCGGTTTACTTTATACTATACTTATGACTTGCAAAATTTGGAATACTAGAAAAGGTCTTACAGCATGAAGATTATAAAGCTGAGATTGAAAATGTAACGCAATCATCGCTTAAGAGTCTTAGTAGTACTAATACTACTACTACTACCAGTAATACAAATGCTAACAGAAGTAACTAGTGTTAGTACTACTAATATTAGTGCTGAATGATTGATAATGGCTCTGTTGTATAATAATTTTAATATTATTAATATTGTGGAGCGTGGCGACTGACTGCTACAAACTAATAGCATAAAATTAGAAAATACATAAATAATATTTGGTAGCTGACTTGCAATACTTTTGTATGTTTTCTTCTCCAAGTACTAATTCAATTGATAATATAGAAAAATAATAAAATACTTCACATGGTAACAAAAGAAAATACGTTCTTAGTTACATTTAAAGTATATATTTAAACTATAATCAGCTGACCTAGTCTCGCCCTCACGATATTTCAACTTGTGTGACATCTGCTGGTGAAATCTACAATTTATCATTTTTAATGATATATTTGTGTAACCTATTTCACGTTGGGATACGTATCTAGTCTTTTCAAATTATTTTGTTTATTGGAAGCGGACCGATGCTCACATATGGTTATTAATCTCGAATGCTACTAAAAATGCTGAGAATATTTGAGTACACACTTATAAAAGATAAAGGTCCTCCTGAGATTTTAAACACGCGTAAGATGATGTACAGAAATATTTTTTAAATAAAATAAAAAGAGAGCTTATATTTATAATTATGGAACACTTTAACTTTTTGAAAATCGATTGGGTAAACTTATCTTCTACAATTGTGTGATTGAATAATTTCTAGAGGCTACGAGAATTCTTATATCGCACAGTATGTATACTACTGAAACCAAGAATATACGATTTTAGACCGTTTTTCTTAGAGGAAAGTGCAAAACAATTACAAATCTACAACCTTTAAAATTCCACAGACCTGTACACAAGCTTTGGAACTATTACTTAGTCCACCTTCAGCTTGTTCTTCGGGTCATAATTATAGAGTTGTTTCTTAAAATATTAGGATACAAAGTAATAAATTCATAAAATTTTAAAGGGACAAAAAGTAGCTTATTAGCCCATCAAGGATGTCCCTTCCAGCTCCCAGCTATGAACACCACTTACTACTCATGTATTCATCCAATGTTTTCTTGAACTCAACTCAGTTAAATTTTCTGTCTCTACCACCCTTGAAGGCAGCTCATTCCAAAAGTCAACCACCCTGTTTAAAAAGTAATACTATCTAAACTGCAGACGACTCCAACGCTGCCAGAATTTTAATTTATGGTCCCTTGTCCTATTCTTTTCTTTGCTAAACAGAAACAAGTTTGATGGGTCTATATTATCAATACCATTAATAATCTTAGACACCTCAACCAAACCCCCTTTGACCCTTCTCCCCTCCAGAGAAAACAAGTTTAGAGATTTTAGTCTCTCTTCATAGGACAATCCCACCATCCCAGATATCATCCTAGTGACTATTTTCTGAACCTTATCCAACTATTCAATGTCCTTCTTGAGGAAGGGAGCCTAAAACTGTACACAGTAGTATAAATGAGGCCTTACAAGTGATCTACACAGTGAAACAATAGTATCCCTTGTCTTGTATTCAGTATTTTTTATAGATGCTACCCAAAATCCTATTAGCCCTATTGCTAGCTACACTACTGTTT